TTAAGTTTTGCATGTTTTAATATCTATATTTCAGCAAAAAAGCATATTGGAAAGAAATATAACTTGAGCCTTTTGAAATGGCAATAAGCGAATCAACTCAAAATTACGGTGACAATGCATATTTTGTCTTTTAAAAAGGGCTTCCGGAGTAACAGATACTTAATCAGTAAAAAGTCGCTTTTGCTTGTGCCAACAGGATATATAGATTGATCAACGAGACAACAACAGGATAAGTTTTAGATGTTATATTCACTGTCTTATGTTGTTTACGCAATAAATGTGTATATCCAAAACGTACATCTATCTTTCTGAAATCATTTTCAGCAAAAAAAAAAAACATGAAAAATAATGATCTTAGCGATCAGTAGGTGTTGTGATAGTGAATCTAGTCTACTCTAAGCTCTCTGGTTGTAGCACCACCTGTCGTCAGATTCGAATATATTTTCTCCCTGCATATTTTTGATTTAAGGCTGCGCATTATCGTTTTGTTACAGAAATATTGCACGTTATGCATAATCGAATAAAACAAAAAAATATTTAGAATAAAACTCTTAATATTCTAGTAACTAAGGGTCGTATCATCAGTCGTTCCTACAATTGTATGGCCGCCTTGATTTTGATAGTCTTTTCTCTCCTTCAGAAAGGCTAGGGTATTTCTAGATTTCTACTGTCTCGCTCTCCTATTGTGAGACTATGTTTTCCTTTTGAATTGCAAGCAATTTCCTGCTGATATAATAGATGATATAAATTAGATGCATGAACAATTTATATTTGTAACATAACCTAAAAATAGGGCGCTGATGCGGAACAGTAGAAAACTATGAAAATCAAGGAGGCCATAAAGGCGTTCTACAATTGTATCTACGATACGACCCTAAATCCTCCCATGATTCAAAGTTTATTAACAAAGAAAAGAAAGGCATGCACTTAATTTTGAAGTTCGAAGACAAGGTTGGCATAAGTTGAATTGTCAGCCAAAATTGTTCGATCAAAATGATTAAATGAAACACATTCAGTGCAGGCTAGGGACAGGCAATCCACTATAGTTTTGAACAATGGATTTCTGTGGTACCAAAAGTGATATGAGATCTATGTCTAATTTTATGTATACTTTGATATAAAGATTAGACCCATCTAGTCAAAAACGAATTATTACTGACATCCTAAAGATAATTCGATACGTCCGACTGTATAACTTGGATGTCCTCAAATTTCTTAAGGTCCGAGAGCGTTCGTAATCATTATCTCGTTTTTAAATACCGTTGGCAACTTAACGAGACATGCTTAAATGGAATTTGGACTGCTCATTTTTTGGTAGTTGGTATTTTGATTTATGGATCTCAAGCTTAATTTAGCGGGCCTTATAAAGAGATTTTGATTTACGGGTAAGCGGCCGTGTGATGGGTACGATCTTTTCATACGGAAAATGTTCCAGATGGCATTGACAGCATCTCTTATTTTTGTTAAGTTATTTGACGTGGACTGTAATATAATAATTTTTAACTCTTCAAACCTCGATTACGAAAGACGGGTCTTGAAAGTGTACCCTTTAAGGGAATGTAACTCCAAAATGGTAGAAGCGGTTTTGATTTCATTGCTCTGTTTGAAAGATAACTTGGAGGAGAGCGTTCTTAGCTATAATACAAGAAAACCACTTAACTGTTCAAAGATAGTAACTAAGGATTTACCAAGTAATTCGCGAAGCGTTTTTTGCGACGTCAATTCATCGACATTGAAGATTAACAGGATTTGTAACATCTATCTTACGTTCAACTAGGGTATCAACTAAAATATTTACGCAGATACATTCAGTAGAAGAAAGCAGGACTTTTCTGGCGGTTTATGATATAATTCCTATTAGCTTAGAAACAATACAATTACATCAAACAACTTTCTTACAGAATTTTGAGTAGCTACATTCAGATACATACAGCTTCCACAAATCCATAGAATGAAATAATTCTTCAACTTTACTTGACGACATAATCGAACGATTTTTTTCGCATAATTATTTCCATGAATGAATAACTTGGGATTAATAATACGGTATTCTAAAGGCAATTTATTTCATATTGCAACACAATAAATTCTACTTCTCAACAAATAACAGTTTAGCAATAAAATGTCTGTAAATGTACCAACGTGTGTTTTATTTGAACCCGGTTCTAAAACAAACGCGAATGAATCTTTCATGAGACAGAATTAATCGGTTATTTGTACCTATCCCCATGATGGATTGACGTTTCGTAAGGATACAGGTGATTTCATGCAGACAAGAATTACATACATACATAAACACATTTGTTAACATATGACTTTCACATGTCTTCTAGTTAGACATTTGTATCAAGCAATTTGTTGGACAATATTTCGCGATAATAGCATTGCATTAGTACAAATAATACCTAAATACATATTAGGTCATTTGTCACTTGTTTACGATAGATGTGTTTTTGCTTTCATTGTAAATGATTCCATTCTATATTATATATAAGAACATTATGTTTTAAGTTAGCAGGGCAACTCCTGTGGAAACGGGCGTCCAATTATGATGACGTCACTCCTGTTATCTGTCAACATCGAAGTCATCACTAGTGTTAAACAGTTAATATAAGGATGACGGAGTCGCTTTACAGCGTGTAAAAGCTTTCGCAACACGTTAATGGGTTTGATTTACTTATGACAATCTAATAATTTGTCGAGAATCTGGATATCACCTATGACCCGTCTTACAGTATAACAACAGACTCAACCTTGTCGTCTTCATTTTAAATGGAACCGTACAACTACAAACGAAACGAACAAGCAGAAACTATTACGCTTTCTATTCGTTCCGGAGATAACACGAGAGAACATGTTGAAAAATCTACGGAAGTCTCTGACATTTGCGATGCATAAGTAAAAGGTACGACACGTAGGTCGTCCATTAGTGGTGTATCGATTTTTTCCCTCATTAAAGCTGATCGTTCTCTGGTTAATGAGAGCCATTCTAATTTTTCCGCGCCACGAAAACTATCCTTTCATCCGCTGCCGATGCCGCCTTTGCAATTTGTCCCGTACTTTTTTTAGTTCGCTTACTCGCCTATTATTGCGCTGCTACCGTTTGTTCGAACGAATAGTCCAGTTCACGTAGTACTAAGATTGCGAAAAATGTCTTGTAAAACGTTGATTGTATAATGTGATATCTGAAACTTGTCATGTGATAGCCTACATGATCACTTTTTCTACATCTGTGGTTTAATTGCGGGCAGTACATGCTTGGTATATATACGTATAGACACAATAAATAAATAAATTACAAGAAGTGTAGAACTTCCTGTATCTATAGTATATAAGAGGATAGAAATTGAAACGCAAAAAAGGTCCAAAAGTCTACCAATAAAATTGATTCATAATTTATTATCTTTTGTGCAATTGAACAAAAGTTATACACATATACCAAGTAACCAGTGCAAGCTCACCTTGAACTTGCACCAATCATAGTCCTTTTTAAAGTCAGTATCCACATTATAAAACTTATTTTTGTATTCATCTTGCTAAATTGACTGGACTATATCATAGTATTCAGCACTTGGATTTTATTGCAGAGTGATTCAGTCGACATTAGTGTCTTCCTTTTTTGTCTTTTAACGTAGCTCTAATAAAATAAAATGACATATTCTACTGGAACTACCCTACGACAGAAGCCTCTTGCACAAATTCAAGTTTTATGGTTTTCTGATCTTTCAGCCGCAGTTAAATGACAGATAAAAACACCTCACGTTTGAATTCTTGGTATAGTCGAGTCATCTTAGTACTAATGACTTATTAATATTATTTATTCAGTTCAAAACCAGTATCTCGAGTATTTTTTCTGTACTTTCTTCTTGTTTATCGGGATGTCATTTGTAGCGATTTAATAAAATATTAGGCACATTTAAGCGGTACTTTCCAAGACGATTTGGACAGGTGCACTCATAAAAGAAAGACAATTATGCGTCAAACTCAATTGGAACTATTCTCAATCGACTGCAATGCTCAGAAATTTCTTGCTAGAATTCGTATTTTCTGCACAAAACTATCATTTGTACTTATATTTAAGGAAAAATCCCGCTTCATCTCCGAGAATGATTGGTTGACCAACAAATTTAAATAATATACTCGCAAAATTTTTATTGGCATTTTTTTAAAGTACCCAATGTTTGAAAATAGATCATTGGATGGTTTTAAGTCTTGTCATCTAAAAGATTCTACAAGCTTTTCATGACACAGTCCTTTGATTGACACGATCCATTTTGGTTTTTATTAAACAACTTGTTTTGATCTGCCACATTTTCATATGTGTGTCTATCATGAGATTTCGGAATGCAGAAAAAACTAGACCTTTAAATTTACAAATAAACAATATTGATTTGAATGTTCCACAAGAAACTAAATTTTTAGGATTATATCTGGATGAGAGCCTCAGCATTTGGTCTCTAAGTTGAATTCACAGTCATATATTTTCAAGAATTTACGAACAACTGGCAGAAAACCAGTTGGTTTCACTTTACTTATAAGTAGAATCCTGGCTCAGATAGGCCTTGTGCTTTTGGGTGTGTCTACAAATGCATGTTAGGTTTTCTTAAGGCAGAAAAGACTGTTTAAACTGTATGACCGGTGTTGATACAACACACAGCTGTGAGGAGCTGTGTCTGTACTATAAAATTTTAACACTGCTTGCTTTGTTTTATACGATTTGGCAATATTCATATACGTAACTTTACAAGTTGAACAACGATTTACATAATTTTTGTAGTAGGCAAAGACATGGTCTATTTGTGCTCTTTGGAAACTATTTGAAGGGCAAGAAGTCGTCCAGAGTTTTGGGTCCAAAAATTACCTAATGAAGTAAAATTATGTACCTCATTGGAATAGTTAAAAAAATGCTCAAAAAGTTTCTTGTTGAATAAGTGTCTGTTCAGTGTTTTACTGAATTTATAGGTATCTAAATATTTTATGAAAAAACAAATTAATTGAATTGAATGTCATTTTCTAACATAGTTTTCTCTTGTTCCAGCTGCACATCGAGATACGTCGGCGAGTTCTGCCAGCACCTGAACCCGTGCCATACGGGCCCGGGCCCGCGCTGCCAGAACGGCGGTTCGTGCGTCGTTCGTGAAACTGGTTCGTCGACGTTCGCGTTCGAATGCCATTGTCCGCTCGGGTTCGGCGCATCGCTATGCGAGATCCCCGTCGCGAATTCGTGCGATCGAAAGCCGTGCTTGAATGGGGGCACGTGCTCGCTCAGGTCGTTGGAGAGCTACCAGTGTTCCTGTGCTCCAGGGTTTACCGGTGAGTGTCATATATATTTTATTATTATTTCAAATTATTGTTGAATGAATTATTAAAAACGATGAGGTTGAATGAAGGCATAGTATCAAAAAATGATACTTGAAAAATACAAAAAGTAAGATATGCTAGCATAAACAACTCACAAAATACAAAATTTTATGTGAAAACCAATATGGATTTACAGAAGGGGAGTCTACATCGGATGCACTAATTAGAATTGTAAATCAAATGCATCAAGATGTTGATAACAAAGTTCCTTTTATTATTTGCATTTTTGTGGGTTTAAAGAAATCTTCCGACGCAGTACATCATAAATTATTATTAGAAACATTGGAGAGAATCAGTTTTAGAGGAAACGTATACTCGCTGATCGAAAATTACCTGTCAAACTACTCACAATCTGTCCAGATTTCCAGATCATTTGGCAAGGAAATTTATATCAAATGTGGGGTCCCGCAAGGAACAGTCTTAGGACCATTGTTATTTAATATCTATTTAAACGAGATTTTCCGGATTAATTGTATTGATAGTTGTGCATATTATATGAAGACAAAGACTCATCTAAAAAATGAAACTGAAAATGATTTTGTCAATCTTATTCGGTGGTTAAATAGCAAAAAAATGAGCATTAACTATTCTAAAACACATTTTTTACCATTTGTGTCCAACATTAATGATCACAAACTGCCAAACAGAAAATACCTTGGAACAGTATTGGATACTCACGTTGGCACAACCATGTCAATTATATTTTAAAGAAAGTAAATCTCTTGCGAATCTACTGATAGAAAAAAAAACTGAAACTTTATCCCAGTGACGCATCATACGCAGATGTACAAATGTATGATATAAAGCAGCTTTATTCCTTACACACATCATCACTCAGCAGCATAAATTTGTCAACACCGACCAAAAATTAAACATAATTCTTTCTTAAAAATAGGAAAATCATTCAATACGAGGTTATCGAAACAATTTATATTTTGTCTATTGACGGTTTGAGGCAAATGTCTCACGATCAGTGTTTACTGTGGTGCGGACCATCAGTATTTACTTATCATTCCGTCAGTATTAGTGAATTTCTGCGTAACCGTATAGTACATCAATAATTACTGACTTCCTGGCTACACGGTCGATAAATGCCACATTCCATGATAAATATTGATCGATCACGGTACATAATGATCGTGTGTCATTCGCCTTGTTTCTAATATACAGTCCGAAAAAAATATATATTTATCAGTAAAAATTATACTATTATACTATGGGTGATTTTTTTGCTAGTATCTTATTGGCAACACTGTTTTTGATAGATGACGCGTGAATCGTGTCTTGTGTCATTGTCAAACTTGTTTAGTTTGGTCTATAATTTTACCATGAATCGACTTACGAACGAACAACGCTTGCAAATTATTGAATTTTACTATCAAAATTCATGCTCGGTTAAGAGATTGCATCGAGCACTGCTTCCAATTTATGGGCAATTTGGTCGTCCTACTGAGGGAGCTATTCGGAAGCTTGTGACTAAATTTCGAACCCAGTTTACATTATTGGACATTAAACCACCAACACGCAGACGTAGAGTGAGGACTGAAGAAAATATTGCGGCTGTATCCGCCAGTGTTAGTGATGACCGTGAAATGTCGATTCGCCGCCGTTCGCAGCAATTGGGCCTCTGTTACTCCACTACGTGGAAAATTTTGTGACAGGATTTGGGTGTAAAACCTTATAAGATACAGCTGGTGCAAGAATTGAAGCCACACGACCTGCCACAAGGTTTCCCATTTGGTGAATGAGCGCTGGCAAAGTTAGAGGAAGATCCACATTTTTATCGAAAAATTGTGTTCAGCGACGAAGCTCATTTCTGGTTGAATGGGTACGTTAACAAGCAAAATTGCCGCATCTGGAGTGAAGACCAGCCAGAAGCATTGCAAGAGCTACCAATGCATCCCGAAAAAATCACTGTCTGGTGTGGATTATGGGCCGGTGGCATCATCGGGCCGTACTTCTTCAAAGACGAGTAACTGAATGGCGAGCGCTACCGTGCGATGATACCAAACTTTTTTTTCCCAAAATGGAAGAGCTGGACTTGTCTCATATGTGGTTTCAACAAGACGGTGCCACATGCCACACCGCACACGAAACAATGGCCCTATTGAGAGGCGAGTTCGGTGAACAGTTTATCTCACGTTTGGGGCCCGTCAATTGGCCGCCTAGATCGTGTGATTTAACGCCGTTGGACTATTTCTTGTGGGGCCATGTTAAGGCTAATGTCTACAGGGATAAACCAGCAACGATTGACGCACTGGAAGCCAATATTGAAGCATTTATTCGTGAGATACCGGTCGATATGTTGGAGAGAGTGTGCCAAAATTGGACCTTGCGCATGGGCCATCTAAAGCGGAGCCGCGGCCAACATTTGCATGAAATAATCTTTAAACATTAAATTATATCGACCGTAGTATCGACTCAAATAAAGATTTAATCGTTTTTTCAAATTTTTTGTGTTTTTTTTTTGAAAATCAGATCCTATACCTCTTAAAAAATCACCCGTTAGAAGCTTCTTAATCTTCAAAAATTGTAGGTGCTTGCTGCTAGTCTCCTCGACCAAACCGTACATCAAGGATATTCTTTATTGTTACAAATAATGATTCGTTACAGAAAATTAAAGTTATTTTCATCTAAGAGCAAAATGGTCTCCTCCCGAATTTTTTCGCCATGTTTTTTCGGAAACACGGTGTATGGATTTACCTAGTGTGCAATGTGTAACCCTCTTATAATACACCTACAATTCCGAAATGCGTATGTGAGATGGAAGCATTTCAAATTTATTTTTCAGTGGTTGCACGCTTTTAAGTAAAAGTATTATTTATACTGCCACAGTGATCCTTATGTTCGTCAGACGAAGTCAATCCGGTTTTAGGATCCGATAAAATCGTGGGTTTTCGGTGGACGGTAGGGCCTAATCCTCACGAATAGACACGGGGCATGAGAGAGATTAGGCAAATGACCATCTCCTGGTTTACTCGGTACGCTCGTTTTGCTTTGTTTTGATTCGACCGTAATCGGCGTCCATTAAAGCGGATAGGCGTGTCGGCTTCTTAAGATAATGCTCATTTGTAACATTTAACATAATGTCAATACTGCCTTAAAGGGAAACAAGGAATTTTTATTTATAAATGCTGATCGGTGGTACTCTCTCATGCGGATGAGGGATTTGAAGAAAGGTATCTTAGCATGAGGAACACCAGGCACTAGTTTAAACGGTATGAATTTCAATAAAATCAAGGTTGATTTTAGTTTTTTACACAAATAACTTTAAGTACGATCGCGACTCAAATTGGATAGTTCGAAATTGGTAGTCATTCAAATTTTTGCATTGATCGTACATATTTGAGAGGACATGAAACCAAATTCGAAGAACTGCTAATGACATCATAGAATAAGAGGTGAAAAACGATTGTTACAACAATAGCTATTTATTGTCAACATATTGATGTGATCAACATTTTTGTGGGGTAAAAACATATCACGAACCGCACTGTCTTTTTCAGGCTATTGTTCGTTCTATTGGTAACAATCGTTACAGCAGAACAAAAGGTCACCGGTTCGGTTGTAACATCAGATAGTCGAGATCGCGGTGAGATTTCCATGCAGAATTTTGAGTTCTTAACTAGCCGAAGCTTTATGCGATTCTTCGCCGTGCTTTTTCATAATTCATGTCCTCTCGTTGGTACTACTACAGATTCGCTTGTAGATTTGTTCTGGCTGGACTCGCATTTGCATGGGTCGTTTCTAAACTGTCTCACAGTCTTGCTAAGAAATATTCCTAGGATATTAGATGATACTTTTTGGAGGAGAAAATTTCATGTTTTAGTATAATGAAGTAAAATAATCATATGTCATCTTAACAGTCTTTGCTTTATTGAAGAAGTGTTTAGTGTTGCATGTTTTTCTGCAACCATTGATTAACGTATTCTACCTGATACTGTATTCGTGCATCCAAAAAATCTCCGAGATGAAATAAGATACCATATCGTCGTTTATAAGAATCTTTCCCTTCTCGGCAATAATGAGGAATCTACTTCGAAAACGTGAGTGTCTCATAGATGGCGCTGTGGCCGACTATACAGGATGCCTGAAAATTTCGTGAATTTGTGAATTAAGTTATGAGACTTTTTGACCAAGGTCATTTGAAGGTTAGCTAATATCACAAAAAATGTTTCTTCTTTTATCAGGGCTGATTTTTTCTGGTTGTTCTAGGTAAACACTGCGAGCGTGAGGACCACTGCGCGTCAGGACCTTGCCGAAACGGAGCGGAGTGTATATCGTTGGGCGACGGCTACGAATGCAGGTGCGCCCCCGGTTTTCAGGGGCCTGCCTGCACGGACGACAAGGACGAGTGTCGGCAGGTCCCCTGTGTGCACGGCAAATGCCATAACACCCACGGCAGCTATGCGTAAGTACACAATTTGTATGTTCTTATCCCAAATATAGAGGTTCTTTTTAATAACCTGATTAGTTGTCAGTTTGGGCTGTTACCACGCGTCGACGTTAGACTATGAATATGACTTTATGGTGTCTGAACTTTGGTCACGTTTTTTGTAGTTGTCCATGTTGCAACACATACCTATAATATGGTTTTAAATAGCCTGGATCAGCACAAAGGATCAGATGGTTCTTAAGTTGGGACTTTCCTTTACACGATATACACGAAGTGCAGTGAATATTTCAATATATGATTCCTAAGATAAATATGTGGTTATTAGAACATATCGTCGCCAATAACACGTAGTGGCGTATCTCAGAAAATACGAAAATTGAGTTAAGTTTTATTACTTGAAAAAGGTTGCTCTGCAATATCACGAAGTGGCTTAAGTCATTTTATAATACCTTTAGAGTTATAGAAAAATAATATTAGACTTATCTCATTTTAATAGGAAATTACATTTCACGAGGGAGCTTAACACAAGTTACGCCAATTTGTGTAATTATAAAATGTACTATATCATTTTACGTAGCGTACGGCTTATCCAAGTTACTCCAGTTCGTAAAATTGTAGTTTTACTAGACGCACTGTGACGTATCTATCTTTTTCCTTCAACACGAATACAGCTTTTTCAGATTAGGAAGACAAAAACTTAATCTAATAGATATTCCCCTCGAAATTCTGAGTGCAGAATCAAAAAAAATACTACGAAAAAAATATATGGATTTGAAGTCGCTGTGTGAAGGAGATATACCGGTAGTTCGTTTACAATATTACCAAAGATTCTATTTAAATCTTCCTTATGAGTAATAGATGGAATAATAATTAATAATTTATTCATATTTAACAGATATTATTATATCATTATTATTTGGGCTAACATATTGAACTTTTATAATAGGGTGTTAAATAGTTTTAGATACTGTCGATAATTATTTCGCCATAATATTCACTGATCCCTTTTTTGTAACCATTTTATCTTGTAATGAAACATTTTTTTTAAATTACATGTGTTTTTATTTCTCATCACTTTAATATAATTCGGACGAAACTAAGTCTTTATTCTATGAATTACGACTTTTCAATTTCACAAAATAACGTATCTATCTTTGTTTTAGAAATTTTGAACTCATAAAATGAAAAATGGGTTAATTGTTGCCCATTTTTGAAAAGCTTGTAACATGAGCTGATTCCCACAAATTCAATAATGTAAAATTGGAAAAAATAAGATATGCCGCTTCGTGTTATGGACGACGATACGTCCGCAGTGTCTTAAACTTTTTACTACAGGCTGTTGAATTTTTAAAGAAAAAGTTTATATTTTTTAATATTGAAAGTACTTCAAATATTATTTTTAATTTGCGCGTATCATAAGACAATATGGAATGCTATAATTTTAGAATCAAGAATTATTATATTGAGTCGCCCGTAGCCTCCTTGCAAGCATATTTTGTGTGTCTTTTTAAAAAAAATTACACGCTACTGATATCAATCTTTGTGCCAAAGAAGCAGCTATCGATTAGCCGTTTTATCAAAAACGGCGCATCTGAGAACAAAATAATAAGAGTGAGTGGCGTACCAAAATATTAAAAGAAATGCTTGCAGGGACGCCACTGGTGACACAGTAGAATAAGTTTTTTACGCTAAAATATGCCATTTTATATTCTCTCATAACACGAAAAATAAATAATATCCAAGGAACTTTCGAAGAAGCAATCTTTTTCTCAAAAAATCAACATATAGACCTTCATAAACTATATGAGAAATCATATCCTGGAGTATTAGGACATCATTACGAAATAACCTGTATTTCTTGGAAAAGTAAGCAAATTTTCATATAGGCCATTTATCTAAGAAAAGAAACTAAACCCAAACATATTCACGCATACTTCACGTGATGAGATTCTAGGTTTTCGAGTACGTTACAGGGCCAACGAGGCTGCGTGCACCGCCGTGTCGTATCCCACCATCCACCTTCATGGCTTGGCATTGGTCCTGTATAAGGGCTCGACTGATTCAGACCAGTAAGCGTTATACTCCCCGTTTCTTAAAATATATGTGACACGCGCTGGTTATTGTTTTGGTTTAAAGTTTTTCTTGAATAAATAGACTATACACCAAAGTCTTAGGATAATAGAAATATCAGCTTCCGGAAAAATCTGCGATACGAAATGCGGCTCTACAAAAAATTAGACGACACGCGACCGTATCCAACCCACGTTGCGCGTCATGTAGGTAAACCGAGCTGTTTGTTTATAGATCGAAAACTGAAAAGTGAATGTGTGCCTTCAAGAAACTGTTGATGCTTTACGTGTATACCAAGATTGTTTTCCTGGACGTTAAAATCCCGCGCTGCGTAGGTTTATTTTTTTTCGAACAAAGAGCTGGGGAGACATTTTCATGGACACGTTGTGGTGGGTACAGTAGAAGGCCTAAACAACCCTGAATGTTGCAAATTGAGGAAGAAGATAAGAACCTTATATTTTTAAATTGAATATGTACAACTTGGAACAGTATTTATCAACAACTGGGCGGCACTGTAAATTTCAGATTTCATTAGTGACAAAATGATTGTGAGGCAAATTTGACGTTTAGAAAGAAGAATGCTCAAATGAAGCTTGATGAAAATCCTGATACATAGCTGTCAATCTGATTAGCGTAACCGGCGCTAGCAGATTTGGCAAACAGCATTCTGTCCTCTGATATTCGACACCAAAAGTTGCCATTACGGAATTTATCCCTCGTCTAGACGAAACAACAGATGGTCCTTAGGAGATTCCAATTTCAGTGCCATATTAGGTTCAAGTGGTGTACGATTTTTTCCTAATATACCAAACGAAATTCTTAAGATTCTACGACATATGGTCAACATATCTGATGTATCTATCTGTAGTTGGATCGGCGATTTTAATTATTCAGAAGCGTTCGGAGTTCGTTGAATATTCACATTTCTCGGAAGCTCATACCAGAATATTACTCTCCTGTAACACGTACCGAATGTTTTCCTCTACGGTCTTATATCTCTGTTCATGCCTAATAAAATACCGCGGATAAAGCGTAGCCAGTATAGGCTAGTTGATTTTATAAAACCATTTTTTAAACTACATGACAACGAAAAATAGTCTGCGGGTTTTCGGATTTGGTACAGAGGTGGGCCGAGTTATGATCGAAAGCAAAAAATTAGAGCGCCTCTAAACACTGATTTTTATGTTTTCCAAGGCTCTGATGATTTCTAGACTTAGTCATGACATAGGGCTTAGTTAAAAAAATAAGATGTCAAAAATTTTCAAATCAGGCAATTCTCCATTTCAATTATTGTGGGACATTACGGGTGTAATGTGCGATTTTTAACTTTATGACAAGTTTTTCTCAAAACCTGTGTCATCCAAAGAGAAATATCTGCTTGTAATTCAAATTTTTTCAGTCTCAAATTGTTTATTTGACCAATTAGCGTCGTCAGTTGAATCCAGCGTCCCTTCAAGCGTGTCATTGTGAACGTGAACTTATAATGAGATCAAATCAAGAACCAAATACATCATCTTTACTCTCTAATGTTTTCGAACGACATTTAGCTTAATATTATTGAAAACATTTTACTAACTAAAAACTAAAAAACACTAATATCCGGGTAGACAAAACCTCTAGCTGTGTGAGCTTTCACTGGAACTAGAAGAAAAATACCTGAACTATCCTAACCTAAAGTGCATGTATTCTGTTTGACTAAAACATTACAGCTCCGCATTCCACTTGCCATTAACATTTTTCCAACATTTCACCATCGAGATATACCTGCTCACCTCACATAACAACGGTACTCTTATATCGCGATGGCCACTATGAAACACATTATAATTTTCTCTGAAGGGAATGAGAGTAGTCATATAAAAAACAACGACGCCTTGTTACGACTGGGACCTGTTACACAAGCGACATGTAACCCTTGGTGAGGTTTTCAGTAAACGCGTCTCATTTCAACGGCACGTTTTATGGGGTCAACGCTGGCCGTTTGGTCGTACCGGCTTTCAGAGGCGCAACCTTGTAGTTTTTACAGAAAAGTAAATGTTTATATAAACATATAAAATATAACATCTACGTATATATGTATTATTCGATATCTTATCTTATTTTCCTCAGGGATCATCTCTCAGGCCTGGATATTCTTGCGATCCCAAACTGCTAAATAAAATGGTCATACAACTTAGATTATATATGTACTCATATTGACAAGAAACAGTAATTGGTGTTATCTCCAAGGTCATTAACAGACGTTTATTATCTTAAATCTTCTAAAGTTGAATTAAAGTTTTGATTTTTGGTCATTGTTACGATATTGCTACTCTCATTTTTGAAAAAAAAATCAATTCGATTTGGTTTATTCAGGACAACAACACCTTCGATCTTAACACCACCATTGAATTCTTCAAATACTTTTTTGTCCGTGTTGTCAATATGAGTAAGCACCTTACTGCAAGGGAAAAAGGTTAGAACGCCATAGAAGGAATTAGAAAAAAATGCAAATAGTATATTCAAATCAAAGCTCACAAAGCACATACATGGTTGTTACGCCCACTGCAGTGCTTGCCCTGTCACTGCGTTCATCTAGACAGCTCAAACCCGACCACACCAGCAAGTTGAACAACAGACCGTCTTGTACTGAGTTTTGTATGCGTTCCTTCTCCATGGGCGTCCAAAGATAAAAACTTCTATAGAAATCTTGGTGATATCACGTAGCACATTACTCATATTTGTGAAGCTATTACCAAAATATGCAGAGGTATACGTTTTCTTTTTGTTGGGAATTCGAGCATTGCCCACGTCGGGACTTGGATCATACTTTCGTTTTTCGCTCTTCTGACTGAGCTACAGAGTATGTTCTTCTAACGAAGTAAGTCATTGTACTGAATCATTTCTTTCTTATCCACTGTCACCACGGAAAATATAAACGGCGCTTGACTGTGGAGAGCACTTATGCCTTATCTTTTGCATTTTAAACATACACA